ACCTCTAAAGCCTTCTTCTCAGTGAATTCGTTAAGAAATCCCCAAAATTCAAACGAGAATCTCACAGTAACACCAGTTTTTCGAGGGAAAGAGAAGCGCGAAGAAGAAGGAGAGAAAAAAAAACCCTAGAATTAGATAATGGAGTTGAGAAGAAGAAGAAGAAGTCTCTCGATTGGCTTTAAGTGAAGGGTAAATGTGGAAGAGAGGTTTGTGCTTTTTAGTGCCCAAAATCTTTATCTCCTCCATTTTTCTGATTTTCTCTCCTCCTCCTTTTTTTTTTTTTTTTTTTTTTCTTTTTTTTTCGGGTCTTCACTTCCATGCCGTCCCGTTTAAATATCCCCGGCGATACTCTTTGTCGGAGTTAATGAGTAAGACGATCGATGGATGATTCAGCTTTTGGGTTGGGCCCTTAAAACATTCAGGCCCAATCTTTTCAAGGCTCGTAAAAAGATGAGCTTAAAACCAAATCAAATACTATGTGATTTCTATTAGACTTCGGTTAAGGCAAAGTATTCAGTTTCTACTTTCTAGCCGTCTGATTCTACCGGCCTGGCTTAGTTTTAAAACAAAAGAAAACCCAAAAAATAAGTTCTTTAATACCGAAGCTACCTAGTAACAAGGAAAAGATTTGGATTCAGAAATATATGTACAAATTAATCTTCTAATTCCACACAAGATATAATTGATTGACTCCTTGACTAAATCTCATTCTCTCCTACTCGCTGAATTATCCTTTCTTTTGCTCTTCGTCTGCTTCACCAATCTATCTCTCCCTCCGACAATGATTAACGCGAAATATATTCGTATAATCATCGGAATTATTGGTACGTTCTGCCATCTCTCTCAATTTATCTATAGCCGTGTGTAACATTACATGGTACTGATTCCATGCATCAGTGTACTTGTACTAGTGATTCAAAGCTTTATAGATGTTTTCACGGAACTAAACAATCAATCGTTAATCCATATTATACAATCATTTTTTGTGTTGGGCACAACTCTAATGGCGGATCTCTCAATAAATTAAAGCGTCGTTATGATCGATGCTTATCATAATTTATTCTTACATGCTTCATTTTACCTCTGTGTGTTTGTATAGATGTAAATATAATTAAAGAGAGAGAGAGAGGGACTGATTTAATTAGCACAGTTTCGAGATATATATATACTGACAACTTTTCTCTGGCTTCATGCAGGGAATGTTCTGTCCACTTCGATCTTCCTCTCACCTATGTAATAATCCTTTTTAATTTCCTTTCTCTTGTTTTTTTTTTTTTTCACATTCGTTTTGTGTTTATATATCTACTATATTACGATTTAACTTTTGAATTATTGTCTTCTCTAGTTTGTCACCAACAAAATCTCTACATTGACGAGCTAGGGTTAATAATGCGTGTTATATGTCTTGTTTTAGTGGTTTCTAGCTAGGATCATTATTTCTCAGATTTATATATACGTATCATTGTTTTCAGATTTAGATAAGTATTGTTGTTTTCTTACCAAAAAAAAAAAAAGATAAGGATTGTTGTACGTAGTCAAGAGTTACAAGCATTTTCATATATATACACAGGCCAGAGTTTATACAGGCATACAAGAAGAAATCAGTGGAGGGAGTTAAACTTGCTCCTCATTTAGTGCTGTTGATTAAATGTAGTTTGTGGGTTTTGTATGGTCTCCCTCTTGTTCACAAGGACAATATTCTCGTCACCACTAGTAATGGTGTCGGTTTCGTTATCCAAGTTATCTACGTGGTTGTCTTTTGGATCAACTGCGACGAAGAATCACGTGTAGGTGTTTCCATCTTTAATGCTTAAATATGTCTAATATTGTATATTGATTTTGATGATGTCTATGTTGATGTGCAGAAGGATCTCGTGTATATATGTCTTACGTTTGAGTTTTGTTTTGTGGCCGCGGTCTATATTATTACTATTTGGGGATTTGAGAGTTCCGTCAAGCATACATTCGTTGGTGTTGTTTGCAACGTTTACAACATTGGTATCATCTATCTTTTCTTTACCATAGTAAGCTCTCTCTCTCTCTCTCTCTCTCTCTCTCTCTCACACACACACACACATTTATTGATGGATAGATAAGTAAACTGGAGTATTAATTACCGGTTTTAATAAGTTTTTTATGCGTGAAACAATTAGGACAAAATGCCGGAGGGTACTAAGACCTTCAAATACATGCCGTTTTGGCTGTCGTTAGTTAGTTTCATCAACGCTGGAATTTGGACTGCTTATTCTTTGATCTACACAATTGATATTTACGTCCTTGTAAGTCCTTTTTCTTTTGCTTGAAGACTTTATGTATTAATTGATTTCCATTAACAGATTGAATTTGATTTATAACGGTTATTTTGTTCTTTGTGTTTATGGAACAGATAAGCAGCGGTCTTGAAACGTTCTTGTGTGCTTTTCAATTATTAGTCTATGCTTCTTCCTACACTTTAGGCAAAATCGACGTTATTGTTTGAAGTTTGGTGTTTGGATAATATTTTGGTATGTTTGCATGTAAGGACTTGATATTATTACTAGGAGAGAATCAACGATACTCGCATATCTTCTTCTGTTTGTAAATAAATATGGTTTTAGATCTTTCATTCGACTGTCAAATTTTTTTGCGTTTTTCTTTATAATTTTTTTTTCTTGATAGTTTTATTTTATGTTATACATATATATGTTTTTAGATCATTTTCGACTATTAATCTCTCTCGTGTTTTCTCTTATTGAATTCTCTCATCTTTTTCTCTTTATTTTTAAATAATTTTTTATCCACTAACCCCGTTGTATTAGAAATAGTGAATATATAAAATTTGTATTGTTAATTTAGTAAAGAATACCGAATTAGCAGAGAAAAAAATGGTTTTTGTTATTAAAGATATATGGTTAAAAGCATTTGTAAATTTAACTCCTATATTTATTTTATTTGAAAATTTGAACTCATATATGTTTTTTTTCCGAAAAATAACTCTAAATTAGCAAAAGTAAATGCTAATATAATCTCCGAAAAGACGTTTAATATAATCTCCAAAAAGACGTTTAATATAATCTCCAAAAATACGTTTAAAACGAATTTTGAAAAACTCAGTCTTATTTTTTTTCTTAATTTACCCACTTTGTTCTCTTAGGGTACCTGCTATATAGAAACTGAGAAGTGGTTCTCATTTGAGATATATACTATGAGAGACTTGGAAGACACACATGTTTTTCATTCAATGGTTTAATTAGTTTCTTTTCCCAAATTAAAATATCTCGATAAACTCAAATTATATATATTTTAAAACTCCAAAGGGTATTTCATGGGTATAGAAGCTCTAACATATATACACCAAAACAAAATCTTCTTAAAATCACTAAAAAAACTCAACATCCTCCAAACAAGAAGACTATAAACACCACTCTACATCTCTGTATCAAGGAACTGTATCTTACTCAAATTCAATCTGTAGATCGATCAATTGCACATAAATGAGTCCATGTTCATAAAACACCAACTCACGTCTCACTTGCCAAAGTTTCGAATGAAGAATAGCGTCCACAACAATGAGGAACAAAAACCAAAAACTCAGAAAAACAGATCCTTGAAGAAGAAGAAGATACAAACTAAATTTCTCTCAGGTTACTTTTTCTAGAAGATGATCTTCATTTGATAGTGAGTAGATATATAAAAATAATTAAACCTCCAACGATTGAAAGACCCTCCAAAATTGTTGCTAAACTATTAAATCTTCATCTTTTTTTTGTTTGTAAAACCTATATATATATATATATATATATATGATAAAGTAGTGGCGCAACAAACTTAAGCAATCATCAATGTAAGTGAGAAAGTATGTGTTGAGGCTTGAGGGTTTGGTTGGTGTAGTTTAATTCAAACCAGAGTAGAAGGGAAAATCTCAATCTTTCATATTGATTTCTCTTAACCAAAACCCTAATACAAGCTAGAGCTTTTATACAGACACAAAGAACAATCTAGACTCATGATGAGCTGTCAGATGGCTCTAGATCCGATAGAGATGCGAATCTATTGTTGAGCTGGATTTGGTGAGCTGTAGGTGCCGTACTCTTCACACGACGATGGTGTGAGTTTGTCGTCATTGTTACCGTTGGAGTTGCTTTTGACTGCAACTTGGGCTCTTGATGGGCTTCTCGGTTTTGGACTGAAGTTGAGGCTTTAACATCCCCCCGCAAACTCGAGGTGGGTGGATAATCCACACCGAGTTTGAATCTGAGAGATAGAAAGCTTGCTTGAGGAAGGGGCTTCGTGAATATGTCAGCAATTTGAAGATGAGCTGGTATGTGCTTAACTATCAGTGTTCCCATAGCTACCATTTCTCTGGCAAAATGAAAGTGTGTAGCAAAATGCTTACTTCTTGTGTGTAGCACCGGGTTTGCTGACAAGAATACTGCTGCTAGGTTATCACAGTATACCTCTGGTGTCTTTTCTTGAGGTAAGCCTATCTGTTTCAACACTACAATGATCCATGACATTTCTGCTGCAGTGTCTGATAGAGTTCTGTACTCTGCTTCAGTGGAGGATCTGACAACAGATTCTTGACGCTTTGCAGACCAGGATATAATGTTAGAGCCTAAGAAGGTGCAGAATCCTCCTGTTGATCTCCTAGTCCTTTGCATCCAGCATGGTCACTGTCACAATATGCTCTAAGGACTGAATCTGTTATTGATGATAATGACACTCCCATAGTCAATGTTCCTTTCAGATACCTTAAAATTCTCTTGAGCAGGTTGAAGTCTGATACTGAGGGACTATGCATTTTTTGACATATGAAGTTCACTGCAAATTGAATATCGGGCCTAGTCAGTGTCAAATACTGCAGTTTACCTGCCAAGCTTCTGAGGTAAGTTGGTTCTTGAAAGAGTTCTTCCTGATGAGGCATGCGATCAATTTGAACTGGCAATGGTGTTGGCATGGGTGCACAGTCCAGCATTCCTGTATTTATCAACAAGTCAGTGGCATATTTCTCTTGATTCAGAAACAGACCTTTAGGTGTAAACTGAGCTTGAATTCCCAGAAAATATTTTAGGGGTCCCATATCATTCATCATGAACTTTTCATTCAGCTTGCTTAGCAACTTGGAAATCAAGCTTGAATCATTTCCCGTGAGTACCATGTCATCCACATACATTAGCAGTAGCATCACACTCTGTTGTTCTTGATAAATGAACAGAGAAGGATCACCAGTACTGTATATAAACCCAAAATCAACCAAATAAGAGCTGAACTTATCGAACCATGCTCTCGGAGCCTGCTTCAATCCATAGATAGCTTTATGAAGTAGACACACATAATCAGTCTTCTCGGGATCTTCAAACCCTGGAGGTTGTCTCATATATACAGTTTCCTGAAGATCTCCATGCAAAAAGGCATTTTTCACATCTAACTGCTTTATATCCCATCTTTCACTCACTGCAGTATGTAGAACCATTCTCATTGTAGCAGTTCTTACAACAGGGCTATAGGTCTCCAAGAAATCTACTCCTTCTTCTTGTTCATACCCCTTGGCTACCAATCTTGCTCTCAGTTTGTCTAAGGTTCCATCAGCATTTATCTTGGTTTTGAAAATCCATCGACAGCCTAAAAGATTTATCTCTGCAGGCTTAGGTACCAAACTCCATGTTTTGGTGACATGACATGTGTAAATTTCTTCTCCCATTATTGCTGTCCAACCAGGATGGTTTAATGCTTCTTTCACTGTTTTTGGTTCCTCAGGTAATCCTTTGACAGTATGCATGACATACCTTGGATTTGGTTTATGAATGTCTTGTTTTGCTCTAGTCACCATTCCATGAGTGTTACCTACTGGTTCTTCTTGAACATTTTCTGAGTGTTGACTGTCAGAAGCTGAGCTATTTGACTGTTGAGGTGAGTTTACAGGAGAGTGTTGTGGTGAGTTTGTAGGAGACTCTGAGACTTGAGGTAGCACTGATTCTGACGTAACTGCAGTTCTCTCTGGCTCATGTTGAGATGCTTGAACTGACAATTCTTCTACTGAATCTTCTGGTGCTGTTGTTGACGCAGGTTCCTTGTTACCAGAATACCAAGCTTGTAGCAGTGGAGTCTTCCCAGGTGAGAGAAGATGTTTGTACGTCTCTGAATAAGGAAATCTGGTTTCATCAAATAGTACATGGCTGCTTATGTAGACACGGCCTGTTGGTGGATGCAAGCATCTGTAGCCTTTGTATTTTTCAGTATACCCAAGAAATACACATAACAGTGACTTAGGATCAAACTTATTTTCAGTGTATGGTGTCAGATATGGATAACATGCACATCCAAAAACTCTTAAAGCAGTGTAAACTGGAAAGATACCATTCAATACCTCATAGGGACTCTGCAACTTGTCATGAATGGTTGTAGGAAGCAAGTTACTCAAGAAGTTTGTAGTGAACAGAGCATCTACCCATAACTGTTGTGGAAGTTGACTGTGATATAACATAGACATTCCAAGCTCCAAGATGTGTCTATGCTTCCTTTCAGCCAACCCATTTTGTTGTGGGGTGTGTGGACATGAAATGAAGTGTTGAATACCACAGAGTTCAAAGTGAGACTGCATTTGTTTGTTTACAAACTCTCCTCCTCCATCACTTTGAAATATCTTTATTTTCTGGTTAAATTGATTCTCTACCAAAGACTGAAAGCTCTTGAATATTAAGAAAACTTCTGATTTCAATTTAAGAGGATAGAACCAACAAAATTTTGAGTAATTGTCAATGAATACAATGTAAAATCTGAAACCCTGAACTGAAGTTACTGGTGCAGGACCCCAAACATCACAATGTATCCTCTCAAGTAGCTTGCTGGCTTGAAATTCAGATCTTAAAAAGGGTAGCCTACATGTCTTCCCCAACTGACATGCTTCACACATTGACTTAGTAGTCTTATTGTAGGAAATTTCACTAATAGTAGATAAATGTTGCATAACTTGATGATGAGGATGCCCCAATCTTCTATGCCATATGACATCACTGGTTGACTGCTGTCTTGATGAGTAATAGTCCAAGAATTGTGGGTTCTCCAGTTTATACAAACCATTAAGCTTGCTTCCCTGACTTAGAAGCTTGTTTGTCACTTTGTCCTTAACACACACAGAATCAGAATCAAACTCAAATTTGCAGGGGTAATCATCAGTCAGCTTAGACACAGACAAGAGAGACTTTGCAATTTCAAGACATACTAAAACATCTTTGAGGGGTAATGTACCTGAAATACCTGGTAAAGCAATGGATCTAACATGCGTTATTGGAAGAAAGTCCCCATTTCCCACAATAACATGTTCAGATCCTTCATATGGCTGACTGGTGTTGAGATTTGCAGGAGTGTTGGTAATGTGATGAGTAGCTGCTGAGTCAAGATAACAGCCTCTTCCAGGATACTGAGGTGAATCATTCAGTTTCATAGCCGCCATTGCTTGAGGAAAGGTCTCTACTTCAGTCTGATAATTTTCATCGAACCTCTTATAGCACTTATAAGCAGCATGACCGTATTTTCCGCATATCTGGCAAGTTGGACGTTGATCATTGGCTCCATAATTGTTTTTGTTGCTTCCTTGACCAAATTGTTGCGGAAAGCCTCGGCCTTGAGTGGTATAGGAGCTGCGACCTTG